ATGTTAATATGACACTACCGGGGCATTGCCCCGGGTGTTACACAAGTTTTATATAATAAAATTGAGTTATTATAAATCAATGATGTGTCAATTTGTGATTGATTACTAAAAATTTGATTCTCGGAATGCAAATTCACACGGCCATGAATACCATTCACATTAATTAAGGGTTATAACCTTTTCATTTGTATTCTAACTTTTATAAAAAAATTATTAAAATTCGCAATTTTTTATGATCTTTCATATGAAAACAATAATGCATACGTAAAAATAAAAAAGTCTAAAGATCCAATTGATGAAGGTTTTAAAGCCTAGAAGTTTTTTTGTCAATAAAGCCCAAAACTTTTTTTAAGTAGATAAAAATCTTAAAATTAAGATTTCATAATTAATTTTTACAATTTTGAGTTAATTTAAAAAAATGTAAAACACCGGATTCCTAATATCTATTGTTCTATATAGTAAACACGAATTTTGAAATGCTATGTGTGACTCTCTTATAGATTTGACATAACAAATATTAACATTACTTTGATTTTACAATCATTCTCTAACTCATTACATGATTCAAATATATGCTCATATAATATAAAAAATAACTCATACTCTTAGATTACAACATCTAATTAATTTGTAACATCTACATGATATGCTTAATTATTGATTGGATTGTGAATTAAATCATATTGTAAATTATATTTCAAATAATACTTTAATTATTAGAGTTTTCTCTAAAATATTAGTAATAAAAAATCATGGACAAAAATATGACTTGATGACTTTTAGTGACTAAGTTGTGTTCAGAGTTTACATCAGTCACTACATTATAGTAACTTTGAACACAATTATAGTCACTAAAAGTTACAATATCACATTTTTTCAATCACTTTTCCAGGAGTAATATTAGAGGGTTTTTTCTTCTAATTATTATATGCATAGTCACATTTAGTTTAAACCGTGAATAAAGACATTTGATATGAAAATATAATAAAAATATGCATACAATTTATGAACACAGTCAAAATCTTCACAGAAAAAGTTTCATACATCACACTTATTATTCTCCAATTATGAACGACTACAAGAATATCAATAATGTACTCTCATCATCCCAATGAAATCCAATGAAATGTGACCGCAACGGAGATAGGCCGGGATTGCAACACATGTTGCGGCTGCAATATTGTGGTAGCGTTCTTTAGGGCAACCGCACCGGGCCGCAATGGATGTGCGGTTTTAAATTCACGGGGAAAATCTACTACGTAAACCAACGAAACTGTAAGGTAGCCCCAACGGGGCCATATCGGATCATATCAAAACATCAATACTAAATATTTTCTTATTTCTTTCGAACGTAAAATTAAATTACACTGCATCGGCCGCAATAGCCGCAACCACAATCGCAATGCTACTACAATAAAAAAAAGTTGATATAAATTAAAGAGTAAATATATGATATTTGACGATGAATAATTTAATATATAGTCATTTAACATATAAAAATTTATTATTGTTTGTGATTAGATCATAGTAAAAGTGTGTTATATTAAACTTTGCATCCTATGAATGATTCACAAATTGACGCGTTGCTACCGGGGCATTGCCCCAGGCTTTACACTAGTTAAAGGGTTAAATTTCAACCAAAAACAAAATAGATATCAACCTGAATTCATGGATTACATTTGAAATACAATTAAATGCATTGCTCATAAAATAACATACTATCTCAAAGATTTTAAAAAACTTCTATATAAGCGAGATTTCCATGCCTCGTTATTTTTTAAAATAAAAAACTTCTATCTGTCCGTTTTTTTTAAAATAAAAAACTTCTCTAAGCATAGCATTCAAATTTTTTGTACTCAAGTTGCAACGAATTTATTGAGATGATTAAAAAATGTAAAAAAAAAAAAAACAAACGTAATTGGTAACCCATCTTGACATATTGGCCATTTTCTTTATCAAAAACCAAACTTTACATGTGGTACACCAAATTATGCAATACCAAAAATGAATAATGATGTGTTTATTTTTTGCAATTATTGAAGAGTATTGTTTTAGTTTTTTATATAGCTTTTCAGTTGGTTTTAAATGAAAAATAGATAATGTTGTATTTGGCTTTTGCAATGGAAAGAGTATAATAGTATAATACAATTCAGGGAAAATATTTTTGGAGCCACTGTCAAATAGTTGTTGTACAAGACTTTCATCATGACAGTATTTACTACGATTAATGACCGTATTTTTCAATCATGTCATTAACGTAACAACTCTTATTTCAGAAAAACATAGCAGTCATATTTTGGAATTTCAAAATTGTTTAATCCTATTTTAGGATATTACCCTACAACTCATTCATTTCACCCACAACTTAAAAAATATCAACAGGTGAAGTGATTTAATACATTTTATTTATAAGGAATTTTATTAATTCAGGATTCGAAAGATTGATAAATTATCAATCTCAGATGTGAAAGTTGAAATGTACCGGTATAGGACCTATCATTTCATAGGTTTTGATTTCTTTAATTTTTTATTAATTGCATTGCTAATTTTTTATAATCTTTTCTTCACAAAACTTTATTAGTTTAATAAAACTAAATAATATTTTAAATTTTTTTTAAAAAAAAAAAAGATCATGACAACCTAGATCCTACATTGATAGTTTTCAATCATTCAGGTCCTAGATTGATAGTTTTCCATCATTCGGATCTTATATCGAGACATTTCAATTTTCAGATCTCAGATTGATAATTCGTCTATCTTTTGAGTCTTAGATTAGATTGAGTTTTTTACAAATAGAGATGGAAATGAGCGGAACTAGATTAGTTACTTTAATAAAAATTGATAAGTGACGAAGTGTTTTAAATAATTAAAGGAACATTTAGCAAAGTTCAATGAGATGGAGAATATACAACTTTCTTCCCTCAAAATTTTACCTATTTTCTTTTTGTTGTTTCCAGAAGTTCGCCATTTTCTTTATAAACGTGTAAACTACATAATTTATGATTCATATTATTAGACACTCTACACAAATTTATGTGACAGTGTTTTTATATTACGTAGTACGTACTACTTTACTTGCCAATTAAATTTGATAAAATTATACAGAAATTGTCCTAAATAGGAGTAAAAACGTTTTCAAATTCCAAAATAGGAGTATCATGTTTTTTATTCCCTGAATAGGAGTAATCTGCCAAGTTTGAAAAAAAAATGTCATGTTAAAAGCCTTGTAATGCCAAACTTGGCAAAAATTTACTCCTATTCAGGGAAAAAAAACATGATACTCCTATTTTAGAATTTCAAAACGTTTTTACTCCAATTTAGGAAATTCTCTCAAAATTATACGGAGCATAAAAATTAATTTTTTAATTGAAGTTACTATATACGTAGTACATCGTATATTAAAATACTCATTTCCAGCAAGTGTTAATAGGAGATATTACCCAAAATGGGACTAAAAAAGTTTGGAAATTCCAAAATAGGACTTCCATGTTTTTATTCCCAAAATAGGACTATTTACTGTCATGTTTTGGCAGTACCAAACTTCAAACATGGCAGTATTTTCCAAATTTGGCAGTAATTAGTCATATTTTGGGAATAAAAACATGACAGTCCTATTTTGAAATTTTCAAACTTTTTTAGTCCCATTTCGGGAACTCTCCCGTGCTAATAGGGGTTAAGGAATCATTTGCAAAAGTCTAATAATTTCATTTAGTTACGGACTCATCTCTCACTTAAACTTTCATTTCTACTTGCCCACCTTTCATTTTTTCACTTGCCACCTTTATAGTTTATACTACATTACTACGTATCATTTTATTTCTTCACTTCCCTTCTGTTCCTTAACCCAATATTATGTTCCAAAGCCCATCATAATAGGAATTAGGAAATGTTTGAGAAAAACATCATTCATAGAAATATTTCGATTTTATATAATAGATACCGACAGAGGCGGACCCACTAAGGGTCCCACGGGGTCCCGGGACCCCGTGGACTTCGAAAAAATAACCTATATATTATATATATTTTATATAAAATTAATTAGGAAATGTATATATACAATAACAACGACCAGGTAAGCAAAAGATTGTAGGAGTCGAATGGTAGGATATGTGGGTTTAGGGCTTTCAACCGTACGTGAGGTTCCAAGTTCGATCCCCAGCTGCTTCTCTTTACTTTTACCTCCCATGTTTTTTATTGTTTCTTTTTTAATTTGCATATCTTTTGTTTGGGTTTAATTAAAAAGCTTTCATTAAATGTTAAGATTAAATTAATACTACGTACTACCTTTGTTCTCTTTTAGTTGCAACATTGAACTTTTTGCATTATTTATATATTCTACTTTGACTATATTTCATTTATTAATGTATTATAAACTGAATTTTTTAAAAATATTGTTAAATTCTTCTCATTTTAAAATTTCAAAATATAATTTTTTTAATTTTTTTACTAATAAGGAATAAAAAATTTTAATGGTCAAACTTGTGTGTTGACAAACGTGAAATGTTGACTGTTGCAATTAAAGGGGAGCGAGGGAAGTATATTTGTATTTATAAACGTTATTTTCAATATTATATGAATTAGGATGAAAAGATATTTCGGTATTGTACTGAGAGTTAAGAAAATTCAGAGTTCGATAGTAGTTCAGATATTCATTCAAATGATTTGTTATTAGTAAATGAAGAATTGGATCAGGTAATTGCTGAAAGTGCAGCTAATTTAACTGATAATCTACCTGAACAACATGATTTTGTATCTTTGGAAGCTGATCCTGTAATTTTTTGCTTTATGCTCCCTCTGGTTCTTAATTAACTTGACACTTTGACTTCACACAGATTAAGAATTTTTACTGTAAAGTGCACTGTTTTGCACTGTTTTGGTGTAGAAAAAGAAGTGTGAAGTTTAATATGGGATGGTCTAAAAAGAAAAGTGTAAAGTTAATTAAGCACCGGAGGGAGTAATATTTTAAGGTTTTGATGATGTAAGTTAACTATGAAGTACTATGCTAACTTCTTTAATACTCCGTATTTTTTAATAGTTTTTTATTAATTAGAGATACGCAAGGGTAGGGACCCCGTGCCTACGATCAAAAACAAGTTTTACAAAATGTGATCTGATCTGAACTGACCGTTCACTTGTTCAGATTTCAATTGTACAAAATTCTACATTGCTTCCACTTTGCATGTTTCCCATCTAATCAACTTGAAAATGAGGAAAACCATGACCCATCCGATCTATATATTCACTTCAGGAAGCCCAAAAAATAAGCAAAACACTAAGCGGTCGACGAGTCAGCCGTTGATGGAAGAAAGACCGCCTGCAGACGCAGTAGGTATAACAACCTCCCAACCAGGTCCTTTCAAAGGGAAAGTGGCATTTGAACATGCCTGCACCACATCATCCATTGAAGGAGGGACAATTAAGTCACTGCGGTCCATAACTCTCTCCAAGTCTATGTCACTTATATGTGTCTGCACCAACTTATCTTCTTCACTTTCTTCCTCTAGCAAAAGAAGCAACAAATCCTCTTCCTGAAAATTATAATACAACAAGGGGACTTCCTTAAAACAAATGATAATTTGCTGAAATAATACAACCATCCAAAATCATACAAAAATAAGTATTGAAAATATGACTTGTATAGAAAATGAAACATTAACATATGTGATGAATGATGATGAAGATATAAACTACACCTTCCAAAGCCCTTCCCCTTCAAACTCTTACAAAAAACCCTTCATACAAAGAGACCCCCTCAAGATAAAAATCACCATGATAAAAAAAATCACCAAAAGTGAAACTAATGACACATACCCATGGTTATGGGTGGACCGGTTCCGGTTCGGGCCCGGTTCGGGCCTGGGCCCGGCCGGGCCTCGGTTCAGAAATGGGAGGCCCGGAACCGGCCCGGGTAATCCCGGGTCCGGGCCGGGCCTCGGTTATATTTTTTTTTTTTTGGCTTTTTGTAATTAACCCCCAACCCTCCCCCCTCACCCCCAAACCACCCCAAACCACCTCAAATGGCCCAAAATACCAAGCCCAACCCAAAAACTTAAAACAAATTCAAAAAAAAAAAAAAAATAATTTGGCCTGAACCGGGCCCAAACCGGCCGGGTCGGTTCGCCAATCAAAGGGCCCGGGCCCGAACCGCACAGTAACCGGGCCGGGCCGACCCGAACCGCCCCCCGGACCGGTTCCCGGGCCGGGCCGGTTCAAATAGTAACCGGGTCGGGCCGGTTCTGGGCCGATTCCGGCCCGGGCCGCCCGGCCCGAGTCCATCCCTACCCATGGTTGATGGTAGCGCAAAATGGCACTTGCACCCATACTTGTCACGGCGGCTAGGCGAGGAGCGGCGCTAGCGGACCGCCTTATTGCCTAAGCGTCTAGGCGCCCGCCTAGGCGACAACTAGGCGCCAAGTCGCTTCATATATAATACTACCTCCGTCCTGGTAGACTTTGCCAAGTGCAAAGTAGGTGAGAAAAAAGAATAGTAAAAATTGTGTGGTTGAGAATTGTGAAAATGAGAGAAATGTGCACAACCACAAAGTAGTTGCTTTATTAAGAAAGTGTCAAAGTTTTTTGGGACAACCAAAAAGGGAAAGTCAGCACAGTCCAATGGGACAGAGGGAGTATTATAATAATACACATATAATGAAATAATATACTTTGTATTGTAAATAAATTATAAGTTAAAATTAAAAAATATAAAACAAAGTAAAAGGATAAACTCGATGAGAAAGTATCTGACAATTTAAATATTTAGCTATAACAAATGTTCAATATAAATTTCCACAACTGTAATAATCTGTAGAATAATGCAAGTGTAGCAGACGTTTAAATAAAAAGTGTAATAATCTGTAGAATAATGCAAGTGTACCCCGTACGACATTGGCTATAGATAAAAGATAAGTCCAAATAAACAAAGTGGAACAAAGCAAACGACCACAACGATTGTAAAAAACGGAAACGCGAAGGAGAAGATGGAGCTGAACTGGCGGCGACGGCCAGCAACAGTGACAAGGGGTGGCGACTTGCGACGGAGACCAGAGGTGGAGACCTGCGACGGCGACCTGACCGACGTTGAAGGGCTTAGGGTTCTGGCTGACGGGACTGGAAACTAGACCTGGGCGTCGCCAGGACGACTTCCAAACACCTAATCGACGCCAACTTACGCCTTGACACCTTCAGGCGAGTCGGTTGAGCGCGGCATCCATCCTCCACCGCCAGGACAACTAGTCGGCGCCTAGGCGACGCCTATGCGACGCCATAACAACTATGCGTGCACCATGCGCCATGTGGCGAGAAAATCCTCCTGCACCATGAAAACTGACCGTAGCGATGATCATACATGTGGCAACGCCATTTGTGCGCCGTCACCATGGCAATTGTGACGTCGTTTTTAGCAAATCTGAACCTATTTACTTAGTGGGACTTTGGCCCTGGTAAATACTCTCTTTGTCCCTTAAAACTTTGTCATCTTTGATTTTTTGGTCAACCTAGTTCAACTTTGACTACCTATATATTTTTGTAGGAAGTTATTTATAATATAAAAATGATATGAATATATTCTTTGTTAAATATACTTTCATAAAATTATACTACGTAAAATTTATAACTTCCCAAATATTATACTAATCACAATCCAGGTTTAGACTTGACCACTGTTGACTTGAAAAGTCAAAGATGGCATAGTTTTAAGGGATGGGAGAGGGAACTCATTGACTTCTTGAAACTACAAAACGTACGATGTTCCTCTTCAAACTATTTTAACTTCACATGTTTTGGTTAGAATGTTGTTAGTCAACTTTTGTTATCATGTTTTAGTGGTTGGGTGATAGATCTAGAGTGTCTATAATTAATTTTTTTGGTTTTCTTTTTTCTTCACATGGCGACGCCATATTTGCGCCATCGCCATAAAAAAATGCCTTTGCGCCATTGATGTCGCCATGCGCCATGACAACTATGCACGTACCTTTAATACATCAGTACAGCTCGGGTTGCTTCTCTCTTGCTGGAACCGGCCTTTCTCAATCACCACCTGCTCAAGCTTCAACTTACTATAAGCTCTTTTTAGAATCCGTCCCTAAAAGCACACACAATAGTTGCAAATTTACTTCACCGTGGTTAGAGGACAACATAGAATATAATTTAAGACGAGGCACAAGCCATACTTCAACTGATTGGGCTGTTGCAAGCCTGTAAACATGAACAGGTTTTGTCTGACCGATCCTGTGGCACCGGTCCATTGCCTGTAGATCCATCTGGGGGTTCTGATATAAGGTAATACTAATAAGTGTGAGTTTCGACCCAGGGAAATACCAGGGATAGATTATGGAGGTCAATAAGCAGGATATAAATGATAGAAAAGTTGAGGGAAATAAAGGCAGATACTTTTGAACTCAAAAAAAATCATTTAAGATATTTTTATTTGCATTAAGAATTTAATATGCTTCACAAAAATTAAAATTTTAATCATATTTCCTTCCTTGTACATTTTCAATGATTAACCAAACATAAAAAAATAATTTTACTTGGCATTTATTTTCCTTTCCATAGCATCTTTCGGGATTCAAACATACCCTTGATGAAGTTGAAATGACGGAAATATTAATAGCAAAAGACAGACAAGATAAAAGATGGGTGTGAAGAGATGATATCAGTACCCAATCACTGTCATATAAAATGCAGGTGTCAGCAGAGGTGAGATTTATTCCCAATCCACCAGCTCTAGTACTCAGAAGGAATATCATATAAGGGCTGTTTACATCATTGAACTCTTGAATCTGTACAAGACAAAGAAAACTCAGAAAAATAATTTTTTTGCTTGATGCAACTACAAAATAATAAACTCAAAAGAACAGTAATTTACAATAAATGGCCAAAAGATGATATGTGATATACCTGTCTTCTCCTTTCATCCAATTTGACACTGCCATCAATTCTGCAGACTTCCAAATTCTTTTGACTAAAATAGTACTCAATTATGTCAAGCATTTTAGTCCACTGAGAGAAAATCAGAACCTAGTGTGCCATCAATAATTAAGAAAAAACATAGAGAAGATGTGAATGCTAAGTTGCTAAGAGATAAGACATTTGAAGATCATCATTCATAAATTTAAACTTATTTTAGGAATTAAGCACCTTGTGTTTTTGTTCAAGCAGTTTTCCAACAAGTTTGTCTAGCAACTGAAACTTGCCACACTGACCAACTATTTGCTCCACGGGTGGGTAGAAATCTAACAGGATAAGAACACAGTTTGAGATTAACAACCATCTACAGGAGTGAAGCACAACAACCACCAACAAATTTAAATTGACATACAAGAACCATCAAACTGAGATTCTAAGAGGTCAGGGTGGTTGCAGTTCTTTCTAAGTTGAACCATGAGATTGTTAAGATTTCCCTTGAATCTGTTACCCATCCCTGCAAGTATACTACCAGGTTATAGCAAAATAAAATATATCATTAATGAAAAATCAAATGGATAATAAGCTGCTATGTATTTCCTCTTTCCCACTGTTATGCAATAAAGTATTCTCTACTACATAATATTGTTGCGTACCAGTCGCATTCTCAATAAGATGACCTTCCAGTGACTTATTAATGAGACGTTCCTGGAAATTCTTCTGGTGCTCGGTCATAGTGGCATACACAATAATTTCTTTCTTACGAGGGAGCATTAGCTCGACATCTGCTTTTATTCTCCGTAGAAGAAAAGGGCGCAATATTGCATGGAGTTTAGCAACAACCTGATTTACTCCAATGTCAGCTTTTATAGGAAATAAGAGGTTATCTAAAGATATAAAAAGCACACCCCATTTTCTGTAGAGAATCATACTTGTGCTTTCCTATTCTCTGCCAAATTCTCTTTTGAATCTTCATTATTTCCCTTACCAGAAAAGTCAAACCTGAATTATCACGAGTGCAAGGCAATTAGATAAAAATATATGGAGTACTTGTTCCACATCTCGTGTACATATTTGGGACTGCCGTCTACAGAAGGAACACATACAAATATAAAAGAGGTGAGAATATGAGACTGAAGTCCAAAACATAACTCAGAATGAGAAAAACATATACCAGCAATTGCAAAACTTTATTAGATAAAAACGAAATACACATATTTGTCAATACGATATCAGAACTTTGGGATTATCATAAAAACACCAGATGATTACCATGCCTCAAATTCTTTGTGGGATGAGAAAATATCAGGTAGAATGAAATTCAAAAGGGACCAAAGTTCTGCCAAGTTATTCTGAAGAGGTGTCCCAGTCAAGAGGAGCTTATTTTCTACAGGTAAGAGTTTTAATTCCTTCAACAACTTGCATTTTGAATTTTTCAATCTGTGTCCCTGAAATAAGAAGCAGTTATATAACAGAGAAACAATTGCCAAATCGTAACTTACCTTCAAACTCATGATCTACAAAGTATTAAGCATCATAAATAAATTTACTTTGATAATACCTCATCAACCACAAGATATTTCCAATTATAATGCCGCAGATACTTTCTTGCGTCAGACATTGCAACTTCATATGATGTAATTACAATAGGGAATTTGGGACCTATTGCCCTTGGCATTTGCTTCCTTATTATCTCATTCCTTTCCTTCTTGCTACCGTGGTAAATGATTGCATTCATTGATGGCGTGAACCTTATAATTTAAAAACAACAGCTTTATACATTTGAAGCAAATATAAAATAAATTATTGAATATACATATATATACACGATGTGAATCATGAAAATGTATCCTAAAAAGAAAAAGCTTATCCATTTGAAAGAATGTACCTAATATAAATAATAGAATTACATTTCAATTACCTATTAATTTCATTCAACCAATTTGAGAGGGTAGAAAGAGGGGCAATGACAAGGAAAGGCCCGACCAAACCATTTCCTTTTAAGTGTGCAAGAAATGCAATCGTTTGGATTGTTTTTCCAAGTCCCATTTGATCAGCAAGGATTCCATTTAGTCCATTTTGCCACAATGAGATCATCCATTTCACTCCTTTAATTTGATAAGACTTCAACTTCCCACCAGTCAGCAATGGTGCAAGCTTGGATTGTTCCTTATCAGCTTTCTCCTCTTCAGTCAGGGCTGAATAGTCTGGAGATTCGCCTTCTTTAGTTCTTGTCAGCATTGCTGCAACAGCTTTCTTTGCCTTTTTCTGAAAGTGTTACCTTTTATTAGGAAAGTACAGCTGAAAATAGATAGACAGTATGCACTCACTGTTAAGTGAATAGCCATGAATAAATGTCGAACTGTGTCACATTACTTAAAATTGTACCCAGGCTGATCAGAATTTCAGAGAACTGATGTAGGCCTGTTTTTGGGTGATAAGAAATTAACCAAACTGATGTAGGCCTGTTTTTTGGGTGACAAGAAGTTAACCTTTATAATTGTAGCCATAACCGAAACATTCCATTTTAAAAGAACTTACATTGTCATACTGTGTGGCTGCTTTTCTTTTCCTACCTCGTCCTTTTTTAGTTTCTTCAGCTGGTTTGACCTCTCCTTCTTCCACTCCATCCTGACCCTAACACACACAGATATGTTTATCAATTATCATGATGAGTAAAAGACCAGAACGGTTGTAATGTTCTATGTAAGAAACCATGAAATAAACATACCACATTAATATTATCCATTTTCTCAAGCAGAAATTCTGAATAAAGCTGTGTCTGAGTCAGAAGCTCGTCTAGTTTTGAGAACTGAGTTTCGTTCAAGTCAACTGCCTCTACATTTTCTTCTTCCTCCTTCACACGGTTTTCCAAAAGCACCTCTTCTTCCTTCACCATGGATTCTGATATAAAAGAAGAATCCCCATTTTTTGAATCGCAAAATACTTCTTCTTCTGCTTTAAGTTCTTCCTTAGAGGGGTCCTGCAGGAATCATTAACAAGTAGCAGGTCAAGCAAATGACAGTAAACGTTAGTAAACCTAGACCTCTGCTAAGACTTATATGAAACAGCAAAAGAAGAAATTCAAAAACATACTGCATTGAAAAAGTTACAAACAGATACCTCGTCCTCAAGAACAGAGGTCGGAGAGTCTGCAAGAGGCTTGTCCATATCCCCCTTCTCCATTTCGTCCATAGCCACTGAAGCGTCTGAAAGCATCTTCTTCGTAAACAATATAAAAAGTCAAACTACACAGACCAAAATCGGGTCAATAAACCGCCGGGAAAGAAGGAAAACTTTACAACAACAACCAGATCTACAAAAAAAGTAACTTTGAAAGTAGAAGGAAATGAAAATTTGCAATTACTGGAGTAGGGTCAAAAAAATGAAAACACTTCGGACAGAGCAGATATGGTAAGAGAAAAACACAAATTGAGACCGGTTCCGTTTCACAGAACCTAGAAACCCTTACCACGAAAAGTGGAGGGAATGCGAGGAGATTCAAATTTGCGAGGACAAAGGTGAGTGTTCTATCCAAACTACGGCTAGGGTTATATAAACAAATCTAGTGAAATGAAACCCGATAGTATAAATAATTATTGGTATTATTGGTATATGTATAAATTATAGAATTTGTTGTATTTTGATATATTAATATTTGGATTCAATCACCAACAAAAATTGAATTCAAAAAAATAAACATCAAATTTATCAAAGTAATTAAAGTTATCATGTATAGTTTGAAGGGGTGAAATGTATCCGGTCAAATCCGAAATTTACACGTAGAATCTCGGCATCTGAGAATTAGGAACTGGAACAATGCTCATCATATTCAGTCTAATTCATGTTTTTATAGCCTAGGTTCTGGTTTGTGTTCAGGTAAGATCGATTAAAGTCTGAATTTGATAACTTATGTTTTTTTAGAGAAAATGTTTATATTAAAATTATTGAATCCAACCAAACAACAACACCACACACAATAGACAAGCAAGAAAGATCATAACACATTATTCAATCATACGCCCTATGACCAGACTCAGAAACTATCACCCACTCAGGAGCATTAGGGTTTGCTAATCCCCACTTGGACAACCGTATGTCAATCGTGATCGACGGTGTATTCTCGTTACTTATCATATGGTGTACTTGTCACGATAAAAAAAGTAAAAAACATAATTGTAGACCTAACACTAAAAACATCAACGAAAAAAACAACAAACTAACCAAATATATCGCGAAAATAAGATCATAAAAAAAACTAGTAAATACTTCAAACTTTTTCTTGTCGATTTTCTTGATCACTCCATTGTGGCGGTTTAGGAGGGGGCGGACCGCCGATCTATCCTCCTCCTTTGCTAGCTCGTTATCTACGTCCACAGTGAGACCTTTGTTCTCCATTTCTTGATAGACATGTATCAAAACCTCCATTGTTACCACGGGTGATTGTTGTGTTCGTTCCAGAACTCAGAGAAAACTCTCGTGCTTGTATTTTCCGTAATCCCAGAAAATAAAAAACAAAATCAGACTGCACTGTGAAATTGGCAGAGAAGCAAATCCTATGCTGCTATGTGAGGGACATCCATGAAGAAGCTATAGACGAAGACGAGACCCTGGTCGCAAAGAATTCTACATGAAAGTAGATAGACGGCTGCTAGGATTTTTTTGCATCCGTTTAATCATTTCTCGTTATCTCAGTTGTTGAGAAGAGATGGTTAACTTGTGTTGAAATCAATGTTCTAAAAGGCGTTAGGCACTAGGTGGGCGCCAGTCCAGTGCCTAGCGCCTAGGCGGCTAGGCGGGCGCCTAGTCGGGGACTAGTCGGAACTAGGGGTGGGCACAGTCTGGGACGGGACGGGACTTGGGTTGTCCCGGTCCCGAACCCGTTTTACAATAACGGTTCGGAACGGGACGGGACAAGACGTTGTCCCTTTGTTGTCCCGTTTAAACCGGTACCGGGACAAAACGGGACGGTTCGGGACATCCCAAAAAATTGTAGTCAAACAATTTCAATCCAAAAACAAAACAAAGCTATTTGAAAAAATTAAAAAAAAAAAAAACTAGCGCAAGAAAACTCTATGACAAAAAAGCTATAGCTAATATAGAAAATTGTGAGAAAAAAAATGCAACTTACCAGATTAGCTGCATGAAACAAAAGTTACAGCAGAAAAAACTATATCACAAAAATCTATCGAAAAATCTATAATAAAATGCTAAAAGAATACTTTGAGAGTAAAATCAATTTCTTTTTTTTGTAGACAGATGATAGTTCATAGTATGTTATAGTAGGTAGTTTAGAGTTTTTTAGGTGTTATATTATTAATCAACTAGTATTTAATAATCATTTGTATTTGGGTTGTGAAAAAAGAATAACTATTATTATTTGGATTACATAATGAGTTGTTAATAAACTCTCTAACCTACTACAAAGTAATACGTACAATTTTGGATTCGGGGCAACGGGACAGAACGGGATATATTTTACTTGTCCCGGTCCCGTTTTGTTTTAGAACGGTTCAGGACCGGTACAGGACAAAAATAATGTATCCCAAATATAACGGGACAATTTTGGGACGGAACCGGAACATTCCGGAACGGACCAACGGGACCGGGTCTTTTGCCCACCCCTAGTCGGAACATAGAAATTGCATTTTTATCTCTATTTTTGCATAAATATGATAAGTAATATTGTATTCTAGTGTGAATAAAATACATATATACACATACATTAACAAACATGAATGATAGAATTATCACATTTAATCAAACAGAGTATATGATAACTAAACACTTATATGGGTAAAATTTAGGTATATATACAAACATATATAGTCTTTATCTTAATTTACTAGTTCATTTCTTTATATCTGTGGCTAAAGTTAAAGTACTTATATCGCTTAGAAAATTAAAATTGAGAAGTAAAGTAATGTTCGACGAATCTAGACGGCCTAGGCGGCCGATTAGGCGCTCTGGGCGGGCAACTAGGCGCCATAAGCGGCCGACTAATTCACCTAGACAACAAACCAATTAGTCGTAGCGTCTAGACGAAAATCGGGGCGTCCGGCCACCGCCTAGCGCCTAGGCGGGGAATAGTCGGACGCCTAGACTGATTTTTAGAACAGAGGTTGCAATGATATGATTGAGTTATTATAGGTTATTATAGATTTTGGGTGAAATTGTCATATACTAGGTACATAACAAATGTTTCCTTAAGTCATGGAAATATAACTTATAAACAGAAATATTACTAAAATAATAATGCATAGTTACTATGGGGTAACAGAAATATTACTAAAATAATAATGCATAGTTACTATGGGGTAGAGTTGAATACAATTATAGCTGCTGAAAAATATTATGACTGTTACTAGAGTATAAAAAGTCATTCAGGGGGTGTTTGGATCTACTTCATAAAACTGGTTCTGATCCTTCAGATAGCCGTAGCAGATATTGGAGTGTTTGAGTAAAAGTGTAGAAGTACTTTTGAACGCTCCAAATTGCTCCTATAAGCATTTTTGGAAGCTGGAGGACACCAGCTCCAGAAATTCAAATTCTGTTTCTGCTTTCAAAATACAAACAAAAACATCATCAATTCCAAACATCTCTTATATTATACGAAAGTACCATACTATGGTAGTATTTAATGAAGAGATAACAATAAAATATTTTAAAGATTTGTCATATAAGTGTACATCTATTCAAATTTATTTTTATAGTAAAATGTATGGAGTATGTGACATATTTGAGTATTTAATCAAGAAAGAAAATCATTTCAAAATTATTTTAGAAAATTACAAACCAAATATCAAATGACACTATAGACATAAATATGATTATAACTTATTTTAAAATGTAATGTGTATTTTTTAAATGCTTACTAAGTTTTAACATAATTTCATTATTGTGAAGACTAATTAGCCTTTGTTTTAATTTTATACTCTATTATTATATGTTAAGACAAATCTTCATGTCAGGCCGGCCTGACGGGATGCTCCGTCCGGCCGAGGGCATTTCGGGCACTTCCCGGTGGAATTTTTTGATGAAAATTTTTGAGCATGTTCTTCATGAAGTATAATTTATCCATACCAAATTTTAGCTAAAAATTCAATCGGGAAGGCACACAAATAATTTCTTGAAGTTTACTAGGCAGTTCATACATATAAACTGCCCAGTTAACTTCAAGAAATTATTTGAGTGCCTTCCCGATTGAATTTTTAGCTGAAATTTGGTATGGATAAACTATACTTCATGAAGAACATGCTCAAAAAAATTTCATCAAAAAATTTCACCGGGAAGTGCCCGAAATGCCCTCGGCCGGACGGAGTATCCCGTCAGGCCGGCCTGACATGAAGACTACTCTATATGTTAAGTGCTACTGTATAAAATATATAAATGTTGATCGGGTTTTCCGGCATTGACCGGGTTGACCCGTGACCCAGTCACTAGGTCAGGTCGATCAACGATCCGATTTTATTCAACATAGCAAATTACTTGTAGAGTTGTGCTAGGTGTACACATTTTTGTGTACACTCGTCTTTTTTACGTACAAAAAATGTCTGTCCACAGAGTTGTCTATGGACAGACAATTCTTTGTGCGTGAGATAGACGAATGTACACAAAGTATTTTTTGTGTGCTCTTGATCCCGTTAGACCATTTGGAGTGGTGTGGGAGTCCAAATGTTAAAAATGGACTTCGTCCATGTGAAAACAGTGTTTTGACTCATATTTCTCTGCATTCCAGCACCGTCAATAAAATGCACCCTGCACGTTTTTTTACATATCAATTTAGTAAAACATTAATTAAATTATTATAAGTAATGTTTTCCTTTTAATTTTTTCTCTGATTAATTATAAAATAAAAAAGACACATTTCGATGTGAAAATAAATAAATTTCATTATATATATATATATATATATATATATATATATATATATATATATATATATATATTTTACGTTTTTGGATGAAGTGAGTTTAAACATATTGGAGCATTGAAGTGAGTTCAAACACATGGAATAAATTAAAATAACAAAACATGGAATTTAAAATTGAAACATACGAGAAATTCATCAGGTTGTTTATATAGGATTTTCATACAAAATATTAATTAAAAATAATGGAAAAATAAAATAAATTATTTTAACCGTCGGATTTCAATTTCAGTTGTTGGATCAATTGTTTTCCCGTTTCAAACAGTGTCCAAATCATCACAGCCATTGGTTCGACCAATATTTTTTTTAAATAAACAAGTTTGTGGGTGCTGTGTGAAACATGACATCATCTTGTGCAAATAATTCCTGCGCACAGGGGCCACTTGGTCTCTTTCTCCCTGCGCACAACACATGCGCTGATGCGCCGCCCCCACTCCCCCTTACTATATTTGATTTACTATAAAACTGTTTAGGGGCTTGCATGCATATGTTGTTGACCGGTTGTGGTTTATGACTTACCGTTGAATATTTCCGCTATTCATTAGTTTAAATGTGAAGTTGTTATGTATGTTTACTAATGAGTATAGATGAATTGTTTTCTCAAATGCCTTGTATGATTAAGTGAG